ATTGTAGAATTTTAAATTTGTATTGTATTGTAAATTTGTTGAATCTTGTAAATTAAAAAAAGTGTATGTAAAAAGTTTAAAAATATGTCTATTTTTTTAATTTACTTAATTCAATTAATAATGAAATTAGATTTTTTTTATATAGATTTGGCTTCGACTGTTTAGTCTTTTTGCTATTCGTAGGTTCCAGTTAGATATTATTTACTTACTCGTTCGGATTCGTTTGACTTGAGGTTCTATAAAAAATTAAAGTATTAATTTTATTGAATTTTAGAAATGAATCAATTATGCTTACCGTTAACTTGTTCTTCTTCCACCTAAAAATTAAATGGAAATAGTATATTATTATAAATATATAACATTGTGTTTATGTGTAAAATAAAAGTTGCATGACAAAGAATTAAAATTGAAAAAATGAAAGCATCGAAAATTTTTTGTTTCTAATTTCTCATGTTGAGAGTTGAAGTTTTATAAATTAAGTGAAATACTAATACTGGGTATGAAGATCTTAGAATATGTATAACTTTAAATTTGTATTGTTTTATAGAATTAATTGGCAATGTGGCATTTTCTGAATATTGTCACATATTTTATATTTATATAAACAATGTGGTTGAAGTGAAATTGGTATTATTGTTAATTGTGTCATTGCAGTTCAATTAAAAAATATAAAAGTTGTGTATTGCGATATTAAGATATATGATAAAAGTAACTTTTTTATGGAACATCCTGTGTATGCGTATGTATTTTATAAAAAACAAATTAAATAATGGTCAACACTAATTACCAATATTATGAAATTAAGGACATTACAATCAATTAAAGTTTTCTATTTGTATAAAATGGTGACAGTTGATATTTTAATGATAAGAAGAAATATGTTAAAAAGTTTAAAATATTTGACATAAATTACTGTGGTTGTAATGATAAAGGAGTTACAAGTTGTAAAAATTTTTTTTTTAAATTTTATGATTCTCAATTTGTAAAGATTAAGTCTAGTTTTATACTTTTTGGTATATTTGACGTGTTTAAGTATTACCAGTTTGTCTTTGGAATAAATTTAAAATTTTAAATATCATTTATTGGTAGTTAGGTGTTGATTTCACTATATAAATATTTATAATTATTGATGATACGTTACCTCCGTTGGTGGTCCCGTCTCGTTTTCTGTTACAATTACAGATGAGTTTGCTTCGGTTTCTTCAATTTTTAGATTATCATTAATATTTATGTATCATTATTTTATTAATCAATTTCTTACCGTTTGGCATCTAAAATTTAAAATAAATATATCAATAGAATACTTAAACAAAAGATAGATATATGTATGTACCTAAGTAGATTTAATTTAATTTTTTTAATGAAAATAAACACACATTGCCTAAATAATCTTTGATGTACGTATATCAAATGGCATCATTGTGATTTTTGTTTGTTTATATACTTTTTCATGACGCATATTAAGGAAAGCTGCAATTTTTCAAAATAAAGTACTTTCTTTGTGATGGATGATGTTTCTTAAATATTACCTTCATTTAAAATGGAGTAAATTTTACTAACCTATTAGATACCTATTTATAAAGTTTAGTGTTTTTTTTCTATATAACACGAACATCTTTACAAATATTGTATATACATACTTCTATCATTAGCATGTATTATGTTTTATTAACTCTATTTAATATGTCCTACTTTACATTGATTATAACGTTTATTTTTAAATTTTTTTGTTACATCTATTTTGGTTGCAATGTTTAGTGATACCTATTTTTTATAAAGTATAATAATATTATTCTTTTTTTTGTTTGTTAAAATTTTTAATGACAATCTACATTAATATAACAAATTTTCATAATAAAACATTTAACAAAATAGTTTAAATTTATAAATAATTTTGTATGAAACATATGGTTGTATTATACCGATTGAATATTTTAAAACCGAATATAGGTAATTACTATGGAAAAAGGGTTTTTTGGTGATCGTCACTATCCACATTAACTTAGAGGGTTCATAATTAGGAATGGGCGATAACTGTTTTCACCTATCAATAAGTATCGGGTAGTTACCTATTGATATATTTTACTTATCGATATGCCGATAATTATCGAAATATCGATGGTTATCGATATATTGCTACCTATCGATAACTATCGAAATATCGATAGTTATCGATATTTCGACAGTTATCGATATGTTGATAGTTGTCGCTAGAGATGGGCAATAGCTGTTTTCATCTATCGATATAAGTATCGGGTACTTACCTATCCATATATTTTACATGCCGATGATTATGAATAGGTATGGGAATTTTTTTCGATATATCGATAGGTATCGATAGATCGATTTTTTTAGCTCTACCTATTGTTTTTCGATATATCGATATCTATTGATATATCGAAAAAAATTCCCATGCCTATTCATAATGATACGTATCCAAAGATGATTTTTTTCTTATCTAATGATATACAAATTAGTTCATTTTCAGTTGTAGTTATCATTATTTTATTAATAATTCAGCAATTGATCCAATTAATAAAATTATGTTAACCATGGAAATTTTCTAAAGAATTGAAATAGGTTTTGACACAGACGGAATGGGCGTTTATTAAAGTGAACGGAAAACAAATATCGCGTAAATATTTTGAACAGTTGTCATAAACTGATATTGATTTCGACTTGATTAACGTTTGAATCTGATTTTTGTTTTACTAGTCATGGCTATATGATTTTGAAAAACAATTATGAAATTTTGCGAAATATAACCTCACTTTCGACGAAATGAATTGAACTTTTAATTAAGATTGTGGAGGGCCCCTTCCGCAGATTTTTTTATTGAAGACGCTTCGTTAAGTTGCCTTTTATCCATTTCTATCAATTTAATGATCGTACATGGGGGGGCTTATTAGCGTTACGTAATCTTATTTTGTTCGTATAAACGAAATTAATGTACCTACTGTATAGAAAAATTTGCAATTGGGGGGAAAATTTTACTTTAGTGATGAGGTTTGGCCGTTTTTTTCGACTAATTGCATCGTATTAGTGTTGAAAATTTAAGCTTTTTTAGAATAATAGAAATAAATTTTTACCTTGCAGAGCTGATGGACACTTCAACACTCAACAGGGTGTGGCTTCAGGTTCGAAATGAAGTTTGTGCTTTTATAGTTAAAGATGTCAAATGATTGATATTTACCTAACTTTACTCTTTTGAATTTTTTACGAGTAAACCATAGAATAATTCTGCAATAATTAAAATAGTTGTATTTAATAAAATCATAACCTCTTGAGTACGTGATGTTAATAAGTCCCCCAGGTATGATCATCAAATTGATAGAAATAGATAGAGATCACCTTAGTGATACGTTTTCAATTAAAAAATTTGTGGCAGAGGTTTTAAATTTTCCACAATTTTAATTAAAAGTTTAGTTTATTTTCTGGAAATCTGGTATTATTTTATGTCTATTTCGTCATACTTAAGTTGGCGAAATTGAAAAATTTTATGTGACAGTTATTAATTTATAAACAAATGTGAGTTTTATTGGAGGTTATGTTAACTTCTTCGTCTACAAAATTGAAATATCCTGGGTTTAACGTGTATATTAACAGTTTTTAATGTAATGAAAGTAGTATAATAGATATAATATACAATACAATTTAAGGTTTTGTTCGACAAATGAGCGATACTTCCATGTCACTTGTGGATACACTCTAATAACACCACTTTAAGAAGTGTATACAGTTTAATCTCTTGAATGCGTTAGGGAAGAAAAATATCGTAGAAAAGGTTACATATTGCGAGTGATAAAGATCGATTTCTTTGTATCGATCACCGAGGGGGGAAATCCGGACGTATTTTTCATGGATCGCCTGTATAGTGATCACCGATTAATTTGAAACGTTTTTTTTGTATAAATCGCTGCTTAGTATACACAGCCTTATACGGTCGAGAGGGAGAGGAATATCTTTCGCAGTTTCCTTAAAAAAAACGGGTCACCCCTAATCTTACGACTCATTCGGTATATGTGTTTTTATAAATATGCATAAATGTATATAATCTATGGTTTACGATTTTTTGTCTGTCATTTCGATTATTGGTAAACATCATCGAATACAGTAAACGTCAATAACTTTATAAATAGGTAAGTACTATTTATTTATATTTTACATTATGTACACAAAGTAGTTATTTATGGTAAAAAGTGATGATGGCATTGTTTATGTCGAATACAAAACTTTTCGTAGGTATATTATTATAAACTTTTCCTGTATCAGCTTACGATAGCATTGTGGTTGATTCTAACACATTAATTAGGTGAAGTATACTCCAAGGTTGGTTACATACGTGCGGGTTAAATGGATCTATTACTAGGTCGGTGTTGTTTTATAACTTTTCATACACTTTATCGATTTTTTTTTATCTAGTCAAGTGTTGCTATTTGCACATTAATATGATATCGTTTTTGTACCGGTGGCATCGTTGAGTTTAGCAAATAAGGTGAAGGGGATATTTGGAGTAATCTGGTTTAGAACAAACCCCTTTTGAGGACGTTTTACATTTGATTTATTAAAACGTGAGCAACAATTTGTAATACCATTTGATCACAGTATATTGTCGACACGGTATTTGTGTATGTATTAATACAATTCCGTAATGTATTATGTATGGTCGTCTTTGACACCAGATGATCCAGCGTACGTGATTGGAAAATATTTATTTGCTAAGAGTTAATTCTTTGGTGGGCAACTTACCCGAGTTGAAATATATTGTTAAAATAGTTTATTGAAATGTTTAAAGTAGATAAGAGATTTTTGGAACAAAGGGAGAAATCATAAATACTTTTAGATCCACTTTGTTCGAGACTTAATTATTTGAATCTTATGAGAGTGTACGAAACGCAAGTACAGCTTAAAACTGTGGTGCATGATTAGAATACAACTTTGTGTATTTTTAAAATTGGAGTTTCACCTAAATACATTTCATGAAGTTTTGGTCTTGAAATGTGTCACTTGAGTTCAAAGGTTTTTTTTCATAATAAATTTGTTTGTAATAGTTATATATCCAATTTGGTTAATTGTTTGTTTTGTGTTAGATAAAAATGGCTACATTTTTTGGATTGGGAGACAGTGTTTTGAGAAGAGTGCTGGTAGAGGGACAAGGTGTCTCTACTAGTCGAATTTATGGCAAGCTCGTCGTGGACTTGTGCATCGGCGGGCAAACGATTTCGCAATTGAGAAAAAGAGTCGAACGCTCACGAAGTGACGAATCGGAATGGTTTGTGCCTAGAAATACGCCTCTGGTCGTTTTGATAGGAACCAACGATATTTTAAGAAGTGGCAGAGCTTCTGTTGTCTTTAATAATCTTAAACGGTTATTAATTACATTGGAAAAGTGGTCGAGGATAACTCCCATCACCTTGTGTACTCTTCCTCCAATAAAGCATGCAAGTCCCGATGTTCGACATCAGTTGCATAAATACAACACGTCGATTAGAACGTTGTGTTCTAATCGATGTGATGTATTTAGGCTATTGGACTTGTATGCCTTATTGGACGCGGAGAATTATGAGGGCCACTTTTTCGAACGGTAAGTTTCATTATAGTACATATATTGTTATATTTTAATTTGTTATTTTTAGTGACGGTATTCATCCAAATAGAGAGGGGCTTTTGAGAATTTATGATTCCATAAGTTCCCTCTTTAATTAATGGGTCTCGCATGTTCGGTAAGTGAATTACTTTAATTGAAAAAATATAATAATTGTTTTATTAATTGTAGAGTACATGATAATCGTTTAGGATTATTTTTGGCGATGGAAGACTACCCTTTTTGAAAATCGTTTGGTAAACAAAGTAGTTCCGATTCATTTGAATGATCGTTTTATTTTTTTGATTAATTAATTGTTTGAATTGTCATAAATTTGCTTCTCAAAATTCTGAAGATTATTTTTCTCCTATTTAAGGTAAATAGTGAAATTGGTTTGCAATTATAGTTACTAAATAAAAATTTTTTTAGGTTTTCCAATAATGAAGTTTATTATCATGAAGTGGCTTATTAAAGATTATTATTCTCTTGAGTAGTACCTATATGAAGAATGTTTTTTTGTTTTCTTTTATACTTTCATCAATTAAAGGAACACTTTTATTTACGAATACGGTAGCAATACATTTGAATACTTCTTGCACATTCGGTAAGTGAATTACTTTAATTGAAAAAATATAATAATTGTTTTATTAATTGTAGAGTATATGGTAACCATTTAGGATTATTTTTGGCGATGGAAGACTACCTTTTTTGAAAATCGTTTGGTAAACAAAGTAGTTCCGATTCATTTGAATGATCGTTTTATTTTTTTGATTAATTAATCGTTTGAATTGTCATCAATTTACTTCTCAAAATTCTGAAGATTATTTTTCTCCTATTTAAGGTAAATAGTGAAATTGGTTTGCAATTATAGTTACTAAATAAATATTTTTTTAGGTTTTCAAATAATGAAGTTTATTATCATGAGATGGCTTATTAAATTTAATATTTATTTAAACGGTATGTGAAGAATGTTCGTTGGTACTTATTTAAGAAAAAAAGAAAAAAACATCATTGAAGAAAACCGCTACGTTTTTTTTAAAGTCATTTTATTTCGAACAATTGCCAATTATTATAGTGTACTTGTGTAGGAAATTACGTATGTAACAATTATTGGTACATATCTCTCATAATAATCTATTTCTTTACGTTATTTAAGATAAATATTACACTTTAATTTTATCATTGAAATTATTCAATATTTTTTTAGATTTTTAAGTAATTCGTATTCATATTAAATATTGGATGTGTCTTATCAAAAATTTGCATAACATGAATATTAATATTTGGTGAGTGAAACTTGTAGTGTACGTATAATCTAATTGAACTGTAGGTTAGTTATTAATTTATTTTGAAAATAATATGTTTAATTTGTAGTGACTTAATGTTACAAAGTATATTTTTATGATTAATTTCTTTGTTAAGGAAATATTTTTGAAGATCTATGATTCTAAAAGATATCTACATGATTAAGAGATTTTACACGGTGATTTATTTCATTAATTCATTGTATAGTTTATGTAGAATCATGAAGATAATGGGGTCTGTTGAATAACATAAATTATGAAATTATTTGATCATTCTAAATAAGTAATTAATTAACGGCAGTATATTTAAATACAATAAGTATGTCATTTTATTTGTCATTTGATGAACGCTATATTTTATAGTAAATTAATTCTTTAGACTATGAGGATATTATAAGCATTTTATCAGAATGTGTAATAGTTTTCAAGAATATAGGTATATTGCAAAAATTGATAAGTACGTTTTGATTGTTTTATGATACATATTTTTTTGTATAGATTAAATTGTTTAATATACAAGATTATCTAATTCACGAATTGTATATGATAACTGTAAGTTCGGCTGTAACGTTTAAATTATGTGCAAGTAGTTATAAAAATTTTTTTGAAAGATATGTATTTTATGTGTGTCTACTAAAAAGTGTGTTTTCGTTTTGATAATCCAATTTGATTTACGATATTTAAGTATTTTTTTAAAAGAATGTTCAAATTATTTATACATCGTAATCCTTTTGAAATTTTGGATTAAAAGTCGCCTTTTTTGCCTTTGTTTCAAAAGAAATGGGGTGCAGGGTGTTAAGTTGATTTTATTCTTCGTGATATTCTTAATGAAAGGTTTCAATGAAAAGAATTAATTTCTATCAACCGTAGATCGCTTCCTGTATATATTCCCTTATATTTCCATTTATTATTATTATTATTATCTATTAATGAAGTCAAAGCTTTCAGTGCAATTATCAGCAGAATAATGTCTGAGAATTTTGAATGTATGTCAAGCAGGTTTTAAATGTGTATGTGTAAAGAATTCCCTCCCCATTAATCATCTACGACGGAAGTATTTATATTTAAAAAATGTGCTTTTGTCTGCACCAAGGGTTGTGCATAATTCTTGATGATTTTAAGAATTACATTAAATTGAAAACAGTGTAATTGGAGTATCAAACAGTTTTTTTTTTAAATTAATTGTTTTGCGTTCCTCGAACATTCAAAAAGATAGATTATAAGTATTACAATGGCACAAACTTATAGTTTAACTTTTTGGCAACGTTACAAATTTATAGTGTAGATACCTTTTTGAAATCTTTCATGAATGTAAAAAATTAAAGGATTAGAACCATTAACGCCATTAATTGTCTTGTTAAATTAAAGGTATTTTGTTGTGTTAGTCATTGAAATTTAATTATTATTTTACAAGAAATTATAATTTAAGTTTTCACCTTTTCCTTCAAAAAACAAATATAAGATGATGGAAAATAAATTTGTGATAATTTTAGTAAAACGCCTAATCTTACGACTCGCTAGGTATAATGTGTTTTTGTGTATGTAAATGTATATGATCTATGGTTTTTATCGTTTGCAAGACTGGTTATCGTTTGTTTTGGAACATTTTTAAAATTTTCTAATTTTTTATAAGTAAGTAGTATTTTATTTTATACCTATTATGTAAACAAAATAATTGCCCGTGGTAAAAGATAATAAAAGTAATGTTTCCATTATTATAAGATTAATACAAACATTTCAGTGTATGTATTATTCCAAGCTTTGGATGTGAACCAACTGATATTATTGCACAGAACATTGTAAAAACAGTGATGGTTTGTAACAAATGAATTAGGTGAAGCATATTCTAACGATGGTTAGATGTGTATTTGATAAATGTATCTAATGCCCGTTTGCATCGACAAATTTAAGTGGAGCTTAGCTTAAGTGTTGCTTAAAATTCATGTCAACAATTATTGAGACAATGGTTGTCGTGGATTTTAAGCTAAGTTCCGCTTAAATTTGTCAGTGCAAATGGGCATAAGAAGTATTAAATCGCTGATTAACAATTTTTTGTATCTGGTTAGTTTTTTCTTGTTCTCAATATTCTCACTTTTCGTTGTCTAGTAATTTCTATAGCAACACAGAAAATTTATGATTCGCCAGGGAAACTACGTTATTGTGGTATGACGTGTGTTGGTGATGTCCTCAATTTTAGAAACAGTGGGTAAAGGGTAAAGTTGGGTGCAATCTTCTATAGTTTAAACAATGTTTCTTTGTGAGGATATTTTATACTTTGTTTCCAGTTTTTTTGAGGTGAGCAAAATTTTGTAACCGTATAATCACAACTAACGGGTGATCCAAAATGAGTGGTGGTCGAGTCGCCTTTGGAAGTTAAATTTAAGTACGATTACCTATACAAATAAAAATTCCAAAGGTAACTCGACAGCAATTCATTTTTGATGGCATAGTACATGTGCGTATATTATAATATGAATCAACAACCCGCTACATATCATTTACTTACTACCCGACATCCAGTGATCCATTGAATGTGACCTAGTGAATATCCATTTTTTAGTAGTTAATCCGAAGTGGAATAGTTTCAGTAAATAGCATGTTTAAAATGATGGGTACTAGATATTATAACACAATCTCCATTATTTAGTATTGGAAGCATTTATCTAGATCCTGCATTTAAACTAAGAAAAATTCCTTAATAGTTTTGTATTTTAGTTTTAAATATTCTTCTTCTGAAAAAGTTATGATATTTTAAACGTAATATTTTAATGTATAGGGTGGTTCAAATTTATTTCATTGGAATCTTTTTAACTATACAGAATACAGGATAGGTTAAATGGGGACAAAGTTGAATTTTTTCGTAATTAATAAAAACTGTGACTGAAAAATTAAAAATTTTAATTTTGTATTTTTTGGAACTTTTTTCGCAGAATTTTTTATTAAGATTGACACTAATATACTACGAATGGTCCAGTTTCTTTGGTATATCATACATTCTTTGTGTCGTTATTAATTCGTAGTGTTATTACGTTTTTGGAGTTGTGTACTTGTAAAAAGAAATCCAATATATATGATATACTTAATTAAAGGTTTTTTGGTATATGGTCTTCGTTTGGCATACTGAGATTGTAGTATTAACTCAGTAAGTAATGGAACACATATTGAGTGATAGACTTTTTTTTCAATTTTTTTTATACTAAATCAAAATTTAGTTTGTAATATGTACCTATATGCAATGTTTCTAATTTTTTTTTTTATTAGATATGACTACATTTTTTGGTTTGGGTGCGAGTATTTTGAGAAGAGTGTTAGTAGAAGGTCAGGGAGACTCTGCTAACCGAATTCATGGTAAGCTCGTCGTTGACTTGTGCATTGGCGGGCAAACGGTTTCCCAATTAAGAAAAAGAGTCGAACGCTCACGAAGTGATGAATCGGAATGGTTTGTGCCTAGAAATACGCCCCTGGTCGTTTTGATAGGAACCAAAGATATTTTAAGAGGTGGCAGAGCTTCTATTGCCTTTAATAATTTTAAACGGTTATTAAGTACATTGGAAAAGTGGTCGAGGATAACTCCCATCATATTGTGTACTCTTCCTCCAATAAAGCATGCAAGTCCTGATGTTCGACATCAGTTGCATAAATACAACACGTCGATTAGAACATTGTGTTCTAATCGATGTGATGTATTTAGGCTATTGGACGTGTATGCCTTATTGGATGCGGAGGATTACGAGGGCCACTTTTTTGAACGGTAAGTTTCATTATAATATATTGTTATATTTTAATTTGTTATTTTTAGTGACGGTGTTCATCCAAATAGAGAGGGGCTTTTGAGAATTTATGATTCCATAAGTTCCCTCTTTAATTAATCGGTCTTGCATGTTCGGTAAGTGAATTATTTTAATTGAAAAAATATAATAATTGTTTTATTAATTGTAGAGTACATGATAACCGTTTAGGATTATTTTTGGCGATGGAAGACTACCCTTTTTGAAAATCGTTTGGTAAACAAAGCAGCTTTGATTCATTTGAATGATCGTTTTATTTTTTTGATTAATTGATTGTTTGAATTGTCATGAATTTGCTTCTCAAAATTATGAAGATTATTTTTTCCTTATTTAAGGTAAATAGTGCAATTGGTTTGCAATTATAGTTGCTCAATAAATATTTTTTTAGGTTTTCAAATAATGAAATTTATTCTCATGAAGTGGCTTATTATTATTCTTTTAAGTAGTATATGCAGAATGTTCTTTGGTTTACATTTATACTTTCATCAATTAAAGGAACACTTTTACCTAAGAATATGGTAGCAATACATTTAAATGTATCCTTGCACATTCGGTAAGTGAATTACTTTAATTGAAATAATATAATAATTGTGTTATTAATTGTAGAGTACATGGTAACCATTTAGGATTATTTTTGGCGATGGAAGACTACCCTTTTTGAAAATCGTTTGGTAAAAAAAGGAGTTCTAATTCATTTGAATGATCGTTTTATTTTTTTGATTAATTGATTGTTTGAATTGTCATGAATTTGTTTTTCAAAATTATTAAGATTATTTTTTTCTTATTTAAAGTAAATAGTGTAATTGTTGATTTCCTTTTAGTTGTATCACTTTCATCTAAGGTTATAGTAGTAATACATTTGAATACATCGATAATGAAATTGCTATGCATACTTAAAATCATTTTATTATTAGACCAATACTTAACATACCGACATAAAATATAAAGCCATTAACAATTACAGTAACAAAGTATGTTTTAAATGTAAGTAATATAATAATGTTTGTTTGTGATTGATAATTATTCTTGTAAATTTATCATTTTTAAACGATGTTGATTCTTCTTGGTAATTTAATGGTAATTTAATATTGAAAAGTTGGATGTTGATCATATATGATATGATTATCGATGCTATTTGATATTTTGATTATAAATTAGTACTATTGAAGTAACATTTAAACTATTCCTTTTACGTGCTGAAAAGTTATATTTTATAAGATTGATTAAGTAATAAATTGTAATTTAATAGTTATTTTGAATTTGTTTTGTTTGTTAAGTTTATTTGTATAATAGATTTTTGAAAAAAAATTGTCTAACATTTAAATATGAATTTAAAATAAGGTAGAACATAGTATATTATAACAAATTATAATTTGCATTGATTATATTTTGTAGATTTTAAAAATAATTGCAATTGTAGATTTGGAAAAATTTACATTTTTGTGAATCTTTATATTGACAAATATACGATGTTGTTTTCTCCTCAACTATAAATATACATACTAATTTCTGAGAAAGTCTAATTTTTTAGATTTTATCTAGAAAAATACCGATCACCTATGCTACTTTATTTTGGTTAAGAATCTGTATGAATTGGTATATTATTTATGGAATGTCATTAAAATGTAGTTATTTTAGATGAAAAATGTACATTTCCTTTTATAATGAAATATATGCTATGTATGGAAAAATAGATGTAAATGATATTCATCATCTAGAAAATGATTTCTAATGTAAATGTTTTTTAATTGAATAGTATTTTGAAAATTAATTCTTGGATTATAATATTTCACCACTTCTTTGGGAGTGGCTACCAAACGAAATACGTTGGACCCTCGGTTTATTTGCATGCGGTTATGTAACACCATGTATGTGATTTCTGAAAAAAGAAATAGTAGATAGGTATGTAAATTAAAACTTATTCTCTGCAATTTTTTTTTTTTTTTTTTTAATGAGGGGAAAAACCTTCAGGAAGGCCTAGCTCTGAAATGGAATTTGAGCCGTGTGTGGGATTAACATTGTACAAAGTTAGTACTCTGTCGACCGCACTAAAAAACCCCTCGAAAAATAATAATGCCAGTTACGGATTAAAATTGGAAGTTTATACATAGAAACAATTAAGCATTTTTTAATCTTGTGAAAGAATTATTAAGAAAGGGAATATGCCTAGGTAATTTGGCAGTCATGCATGACATTACCATTTATTCTTTAAAATATGAAAATATTATCCTTTTTTGAAGGCTTAAAATAGCGTGTATTTTTTTAATTTGTTAAGATGTTCGCCCTAGTATCATGTCTCAATTTTATAAAAAAACTTAATTGTGGAATTTTTTACTTCAAACACTACTACCCTCTTTCGAAGGCTTAAAATAGCGTGTATATTTTTTATTTGTTGTTAAGATGTTCGCCCTAGTATCATGTCTCAATTTTATAAAAAAACTTAATTGTGGAATTTTCTTCTTCAAACACTATTACCCTCTTTCGAAGGCTTAAAATAGCGTGTATCTTCTTTATTTGTTGTTAATATGTTCGCCCTAGTATCATGTCTCAAATTTATTTAAAAAAACTTAATTGTGGAATTTTCTTCGTCAAACACTATTACCCTCTTTCGAAGGCTTAAAATAGCGTGTATCTTCTTTATTTGTTGTTAAGATGTTCGCCCTAGTATCATCATGTCTCAAATTTATTTAAAAAAACTTAATTGTGGAATTTTCTTCGTCAAACACTATTACCCTCTTTCGAAGGCTTAAAATAGCGTGTATCTTCTTTATTTGTTGTTAATATGTTCGCCCTAGTATCATGTCTCAAATTTATTTAAAAAAACTTAATTGTGGAATTTTCTTCGTCAAACACTATTACCCTCTTTCGAAGGCTTAAAATAGCGTGTATCTTCTTTATTTGTTGTTAATATGTTCGCCCTAGTATTATCATGTCTCAAATTTATTTAAAAAAACTTAATTGTGGAATTTTCTTCGTCAAACACTATTACCCTCTTTCGAAGGCTTAAAATAGCGTGTATTTTCTATATTTGTTGTTAATATGTTCGCCCTAGTATCATGTCTCAAATTTATTTAAAAAAACTTAATTGTGGAATTTTCTTCGTCAAACACTATTACCCTCTTTCGAAGGCTTAAAATAGCGTGTATTTTTTATTTGTTGTTAATATGTTCGCCCTAGTATCATGTCTCAAATTTATTTAAAAAAACTTAATTGTGGAATTTTCTTCGTCAAACACTATTACCCTCTTTCGAAGGCTTAAAATAGCGTGTATCTTCTTTATTTGTTGTTAATATGTTCGCCCTAGTATCATCATGTCTCAAATTTATTTAAAAAAACTTAATTGTGGAATTTTCTTCGTCAAACACTATTACCCTCTTTCGAAGGCTTAAAATAGCGTGTATCTTCTTTATTTGTTGTTAATATGTTCGCCCTAGTATCATGTCTCAAATTTATTTAAAAAAACTTAATTGTGGAATTTTCTTACTTCAAACACTATTACCCTCTTTCGAAGGCTTAAAATAGCGTGTATCTTCTTTATTTGTTGTTAATATGTTCGCCCTAGTATCATGTCTCAAATTTATTTAAAAAAACTTAATTATGGAATTTTCTTCATCAAACACTATTACCCTCTTTCGAAGGCTTAAAATAGTGTGTATCTTCTTTATTTGTTGTTAAGATGTTCGCCCTAGTATCATCATGTCTCAAATTTATTTAAAAAAACTTAATTGTGGAATTTTCTTTCTTCAAACACTATTACCCTCTTTCGAAGGCTTAAAATAGCGTGTATCTTCTTTATTTGTTGTTAAGATGTTCGCCCTAGTATCATGTCTCAAATTTATAAAAAAAACTTAATTGTGGAATTTTCTTCGTCAAACACTATTACCCTCTTTCGAAGGCTTAAAATAGCGTGTATTTTCTATATTTGTTGTTAATATGTTCGCCCTAGTATCATGTCTCAAATTTATTTAAAAAAATTTAATTGTGGAATTTTCTTCGTCAAACACTATTACCCTCTTTCGAAGGCTTAAAATAGCGTGTATCTTCTTTATTTGTTGTTAATATGTTCGCCCTAGTATCATCATGTCTCAAATTTATTTAAAAAAACTTAATTGTGGAATTTTCTTCGTCAAACACTATTACCCTCTTTCGAAGGCTTAAAATAGCGTGTATCTTCTTTATTTGTTGTTAATATGTTCGCCCTAGTATCATGTCTCAAATTTATTTAAAAAAACTTAATTGTGGAATTTTCTTCGTCAAACACTATTACCCTCTTTCGAAGGCTTAAAATAGCGTGTATCTTCTTTATTTGTTGTTAAGATGTTCGCCCTAGTATCATCATGTCTCAAATTTATTTAAAAAAACTTAATTGTGGAATTTTCTTCGTCAAACACTATTACCCTCTTTCGAAGGCTTAAAATAGCGTGTATCTTCTTTATTTGTTGTTAATATGTTCGCCCTAGTATCATGTCTCAAATTTATTTAAAAAAACTTAATTGTGGAATTTTCTTCGTCAAACACTATTACCCTCTTTCGAAGGCTTAAAATAGCGTGTATCTTCTTTATTTGTTGTTAATATGTTCGCCCTAGTATCATGTCTCAAATTTATTTAAAAAAACTTAATTGTGGAATTTTCTTCGTCAAACACTATTACCCTCTTTCGAAGGCTTAAAATAGCGTGTATCTTCTTTATTTGTTGTTAATATGTTCGCCCTAGTATCATGTCTCAAATTTATTTAAAAAAACTTAATTGTGGAATTTTCTTCATCAAACACTATTACCCTCTTTCGAAGGCTTAAAATAGCGTGTATTTTCTTTATTTGTTGTTAATATGTTCGCCCTAGTATCATGTCTCAAATTTATTTAAAAAAACTTAATTGTGGAATTTTCTTCGTCAAACACTATTACCCTCTTTCGAAGGCTTAAAATAGCGTGTATCTTCTTTATTTGTTGTTAATATGTTCGCCCTAGTATCATCATGTCTCAAATTTATTTAAAAAAACTTAATTGTGGAATTTTTTTCTTCAAACACTATTACCCTCTTTCGAAGGCTTAAAATAGCGTGTATTTTCTTTATTTGTTGTTAAGATGTTCGCCCTAGTATCATCATGTCTTAAATTTATTTAAAAAAACTTAATTGTGGAATTTTCTTCGTCAAACACTATTACCCTCTTTCGAAGGCTTAAAATAGCGTGTATCTTCTTTATTTGTTGTTAATATGTTCGCCCTAGTATCATGTCTCAAATTTATTTAAAAAAACTTAATTGTGGAATTTTCTTCGTCAAACACTATTACCCTCTTTCGAAGGCTTAAAATAGCGTGTATTTTCCTTATTTGTTGTTAAGATGGTCGCTCTAGTATCATGCTTCAAATTTAAAAAAAAAACTTAATTGTGAAATTTTCTTCTTCAAACACTATTACCCTCTTTCGAAGGCTTGAAATAGTGTGGATTTTCATTGTTTGTTGTTAAGATGTTCGCTCTAGTATCGTGTCTCTTTTATTTATTAAATTATTTGCTTTCGTGTCGTGTTTAAAATGTTTTTCATTTGAATATATGTAACATTTATTGGCTTGTCTTACTGTACCGCTTTATTAGATAGAAAAACGCTGTGATTTTAACAGATTTTATGTAAGTTAGAAAAACTAATACTACTACTATTAATAATGGATATCAATTAATCAATAAAAGTGTAAAAAAATTAATTACAACTGATTAACAATATATAAATGTTTGTTACAAATAATAAATTTTAATTTATAAATTGTATATCTGTACATTTTAAAACATAAGCGTGCAAAAATAGTTTTTTTTTAAATTGATAATCAGTTTAACCTTTTGGCATTTTAACATATATTACGGCGTATAGCATTTGAATATATTATTAGATACCTTTATTATTTATCGTCGTCTTTTTGGCGATTCGATATGTTTAGGATATCTTTTTTTGTACTCGTGGCTAGCCTGTTAATATGTTCGTTTGCCGGTTAGTTTTTTTAAACAAATGTTTATGCACAACTTATACTATACAATATACAGTATTTTGAAAGATTAAAAAAAAATGTTTTGTTATTTTCTATATGAATGTTATTTGCACAATATGTAAAAATTTTAATTTGATCAAAAAATAACTAAGGAATAGGACTTATTTGAATTCATTTTTGTACAGAAAGAATTGCCAATAGATATCATATTTTTATCTAAATATTTCTTTAGCGACGATGTTTTTAACCTTGTGCGGTTTTTTCTCATTTGGTGGTAAATAAATCTTAATGTCTGATTTTTTTCTGACTCTACTCATGGCTACGTATAATTGACCGTGACTAAATAATGGAGTGTTTAGATATAAACCAACTTTGGCGACTGTTTGTCCTTGTGCTTTGTTTATGGTCATAGCGTAAGCCAATTCTACTGGAAATTGCATTCGTTGAAAATGCAATCCTGTTCCGTCGAGGCGATCATCTTCATATACGAATTTTAATACTGCCAAAACGCAAGTCTTTCCTCGATGCGGTCCTATTGCTATTTTACAATGTAGCAGGTGTTCACCTAAACGTGTTACGATTAAACGTGTACCGTTTGATAATCCTTGTCTTACGTCTATGTTTCTTAATAAAACTACTATCGCATTTTCCTTTAATACTAGTTTATGAGGAGGAAAATTTGTTGGATTTTCTTCGTGTAGCGAAGACACGTCGTTAATGGCCGCATATACGTCCAATGCCGGATTGTCTACGAGCGATTTATCTGCAGATAAATATACTTTTTCTTCTCCGGGAAGCATATTTAAAATTTTTGAATTTAATTTTCTAACGTCTGCGCGTCTGGCACTTAAAAGCAATTTTTCTACGGCGTCGTTTCTAAGCAAGGCTTCGTTGTTTTCGAAAACAAATTTTATAAGTTTGTCTTCACTTTCTATCAACATATCTGCGGGGACTTGGAATTCTCCAGTACCGTCTGTATCTTCGCCTATACGTTCTAATATTTGATTAAATTCTATTTCGTTTTCATTTACTCGCATATTTCTAATTAACGTTATTTTGTGAAATGCGGCGAACAGTTCGGAATTTTTTATGGAACTTTTAATCTGTTCGTTTATATCTGCAAATTGTACTACTGGTAAGAGCTGCCTCCAATCTCCTCCTAATAAAACGATCTTACCACCGAAAAGGAGCTTTGAAAGATTTATATGTGCAGCATGTTTGCACGCCTCGTTTATCATATTAAGATATTTTCGATGTAGCATGCTAATTTCGTCTATGATTATTAACTGCGTTTTTCTTATTCTTTGGGTTATAACGTCATTCCACCGTATGGGTGGTACGTAATCTGTCCCTTTCGAAACGTCAGTGGGCAAATGAAAAGCGTTATGAACGGTCATACCGCGAGGTAAAAGTTGTGCGGCCGCGCCAGTTGACGCTGTAACAATGGCATACTTTTTATACCTAAAGAATATATCTATGATAGTTTTATAGACAAAAGTCTTGCCCGTGCCGCCGGCCCCATTTAGGAAAATCAGCCTAGGCGTGGGATTTAGTTTATCATCTGGCGTAGATTCTACAGCTTTTATTATTAAATCGACAACGATTTTTTGTTCTACGTTTAGTTTTAAGTAAATCGGCAAATTTACGTAATTGCTAATGTTTTCATCTTCAATATATTCATTGGGAGCTTGCGATGGTAATTCGTTTGTATCGTCATCTCGATCGAAGATATCAGTTTCGCCAAAAAAGAATTCTCTTTCATCGTCACAGATTTGTTCGTAATTTTCGGGCATGGGAATATTAAAATCTTTATTCGTTTTCCAATTGTGACTTAAAATACGATTCAAAGAACAAAGGGCAATGTTTATTCTTCTCGATTTTTCTGCATCATCGTTATCGCGCAAATTACGAGTATCGTACATAAATGGGAGGAATTCGTTCCAAAGTGCTAATGGATCGGATACGTGTCCCCATACTAATATTTGTGCGAATAAATTGCGCATCATTTTCGGATAACCAACATTACTAGCTTCAAAAAGTGTTCTGCGCCAAGTCTCTATGTCGTTCAGTAAACCCATTATTTTTGCGCAATCTACGAATGTTTCGCATGGTTCTACGTAATTTGTTGGAGTGCGTAAATTATCCCATCCTGTTGGACCTTTACGACACAGTAAAAGTTGATATATTGCGAATTTTTCTGTTTGATTAGGTGGAACCGGATATAAACGACCTATTACGTTTACCATTCTTTTTCGTTTTGTCCAACGATTCGTTTTTTTGTTAAACCAATAAGTTTCCGGTAATTGAGGAAACGTTAAGTTTCGCATATCGTTTATTTCATGTTGAGATTCTTCTAAACATTGCAAGAAAAACATTTCCAATTGGGACAGTTTGGTATTATTGTCCAAGACTTGTGCGGCAATTATTTCTTCGTTACCACGTCTATAATATAAAGGTCCTTCTCCGGGCATATGAACGTTAAGTCGATATACTGTGTGCGATGATCTAATTATTCGCCACTTGTTTAATCTAGCGTACGCTTCCGGAGCCGAACGATAATAACCTTTCATTAGTCCTACGGATTCGTCGTAGTCGACAATATCACTATTTGTTTGGGCAATTCGAACGTAAGCGTAATTACCCATTTTAAAATTATATTTAATTGCATATTTACAACTTTGAGTTCCGTAACAAAACTCGATGTTATTGTGCGCATGCCATGCCAAAAGATAAGCAGGATTGTAAGGAACAACAGAGGCATTCGTAATTATATTTCCGCCAGGTGTTTTGTAAGTTTCTCCTCCGTTTTCGGGCGATCTTCGCTTGTATATTGCGGGTCTATCTTCGTACGTTATAGTGGAATTTGAAAATTTTTTTGGAAAACCTTTCGAACATTTACCACTATCGTTAAGACAAATAGTATTACAGTTGTGAATTTGAAACTTTATCACTAGCTCTCGTAATTTTCTATTCATTTCTGCTTCGTCACTTTTATCGTTTGCGTCGGGTAATTTAGGTATTTCTGCGGATACGTATTCATCTACGTACTCGGGAGAATTTGGACAATCTAAGCTAATTAAGCGATGAGTGTGGGGTCCGCCTCTCTTTTGAAATTCTAAACTTTCGATAAATGCTTTAACTTTACCAAATATATGACCTTTTTCGATAAGCTTTCGCATTTTTTCAATTTTTACTAGAAAGACTCTACATATAATATCAGGGCGATCTGTAATATATTGATTTTTTAATAAATGTTCTTTTACTTCGTTCCACGAGGGGTTGCACGTGGTGGTAATCATAAAGGTCGGACGACCAATGCGGTTAAACAGAGCCGTGGCATCGTGAAAGTGTTGTTGATACCACGCAGGAGAACCTACCATTCTAGAAGATAATCGTAGGACTTTTCCTAATTTTTTTCCTTCGCATAATTTTTGTAAATCTCTATCCAATGCCATGCGTACTTCGGGAGCAGTGGTACAAAATGTATCGTAATTTTTCTTAATAAATTCGTGCACTTGCTGATCGGCTTTGATGCTCTGATCGATAATATATTCTTGTGTGATACTACCGAAGGGATATAAAAAGTGCGTAGCTCCTTTATTATCACCACGAATTGCTAAGTGAAATCTATAAAAATCTCTTACGGATACGTGGTTTTTGTGCTCGACTTCATCTATTTCTTCGTCGTAAACGGCGTTTGGCGAACAACCGAGATCATTTTGTTCAGCTGAAGTAATTGTACGTTGATTTGGCGTATTCCGTTTTTTAACTTTTTCTATACCTGGATAATATCCAAAATCACCGTTCGCCAAGTTTAAAACGTAATGCAGGCAATCGTTTAGTCGATCATAAAGTGGAAAACATATTACTTGCCCATTTTTCTTTTTTAACCAAGTACCATAGCGATATACCGGTTCGTCGTTTTCGTTACTAACATAAAAAGCGCACAATTCTTTTACTTGTGGTAAATTAACTGCACGTGGATGTAAACCGGGATCAATCATTGCGTTAGGAACTTGTTTCGGATTTACCAAGACTAATGTGACATGTTGTACGTCATCAAACCCTTGTCTTTGCACATCGGCCGATGTTTCCATATAGAGTTGGTGCATTATATTAAACGCTTCGCAAAGCGGATGGTGTTTTTGTAATATAGTGAACAATTTTTGTAATATTTCCCGTTTAATGCCGAATTTTGTAGACAGCGGATTTTGAGCTACCGAATCTTGCATCATCATCGGATCAAGCATGTACAATTGACCGTGTACTGGCGTTTTTCCGTCGGGTGCAAACAGGGGACTTATGTTTCGTTTAATTTCGCCATTAATTAACATAACCGGTGGACCTTGTCCGGGTGCCTTTTTTCGACCCGCTTCTATACTACCAAAACTTAATAGCATGTTATAAATTCGGAAGTACTGTCGAAAATGTTTTCCGTGTACGGGATCGTCCATTAACTTTCGAATATCTTCGGGAACCGGTGAAATTGCAGGTAACATAATAGTACCGTGATTACAACATATAGCGCTAGTTTCATCTTTAAACAAAAGTGCCTTGCAATGTTTACATATTTGGTCACCTATTTTTCCACATTCGAGATAGTCGATTGAATGTTTGGCACTTTTTGCAAAACAACCGTAAATACCGTGAGTTCTTTTACAATATTTCATAGGTTTTAGTTTATTTTTATTTGATTTTCTAGATTCACTGTAGCTAACCGTACTTCTTGTAGATCTAGTTGATCTTCTACTATTGGAAGAAGATGTAGATACAATACTAACGTCGGAATCAGATTCGATAGGTGTGCCTTCGCAAATTTCGACGATTTCGTTATCATTAATTTCAATTTCGTTAAAAAGGCAATCGGATCGGGTTTCGTAGGAAGGTATTTTCTCATTATATAATTCTAGTAACATACCGTTAATTCTTTGGCGTTCTGTCGCGATGTTAAAATCGGACAAAAGCATGCGTTTTTCATTCATCAAATACGTCTCAACATAAATACATACGTAATATCCACAGTTATATGAATCCGTTTGTAAATTGTAAGTTTGTTCATTTGCAACTTCAATGTGTATTTCACTGTTTGTAAGAAATGACGAATCCAATACTTGAATTGCATTTTTTATAGAAATAAAATAATTACTATTGTCCTTTAATCTATTGTCATTAGGAAGGGGATCATAGAATATAGTTTTACTTCCTCGTTCGTGAATAATTAGTGCAAAATGTCCGGGAAAGTAAATCGGAATGAATAATACTTCATAATTATGTGGATTTCCCCAAAGTCCTTCTGTAGGGGAAACGTTTGTTATCTTATTATATATAGATACAGTATAATTAATATTAAGTAAAAGAGATTTTGTTCTATTATAGGCTAGGTATGTAACGTACATTAGGTAACCATGTAAATTGTTGATATTCATTTCGGATTTGGAATTTTGATATGATTCGATAAAATCTAATCGAGACAATGTATAATATTCTTTAGGCAAGGGGTACGTTATGGCGGCTACATTCGTTGGTACATTCAAAGGGCAATCGACGTTTTTAGTTGAAGTAATTTTAAGATTTGCCATTAATTCATCTCCTAAAGCGTCAAAAATTTCAGTTTCAATTTTATTTGCGATTTCAACGTTTGCGGTAACTTTGTGATGACTACTCGGTGGTGGCATCATCGATTGCGAAAGAGTCATAATATTGTCGTTTATTTCCATAGATTCGTTAAGACAAATTTTTTTTTGAGGTGGTACATTTTTTTCTAAGTTGTCTTTTTTTGCATTTTTAAAAATTTCCACGTTACTTTTACTTTTTTTTTTTCTACCAAGTTTCTTTGATTGTGATGATTGGATTTTATGACAACTTGCTATAGCTTCGTATATGGGCACTCTTTCATGACACAATTCCGCTATTATACGATTTATTCTTTGACGTTCGTTTGCAATATTTAAATTGGTTAGTAACATATGTTTGTCATTCATTAGATAAGATTCGACGTATAAAGAAACATAATATCCACAATTGTAATTGTCGTCTTTGTCGACGCTTTGTAAATTATATGTATTCGTATTAGCAATTTCGACATGTATGTCATTATTCGAAATGATAGACGAATCAAATTCTCTAATTGCACTTTTTATACGAGTAAAATAATCAGCGTAGTTTTTATTTAATAATCTGTTACCCTCCGGTAAAGGGTCATAAAAGATAGTTTTACCTCCTTTTTCGTGAATAATTAAGGCAAAATGTCTTGGAAAATAAATAGGAACGAACAACACTTCATAGGTATCAGGATTGCCCCAAGCACCATCTCTTGGTGAAGTAGGGGTTTTATTGAAAATGGCTACTGTATAGTTTATATTAATTAGACATACTTTTCGCTTATTTTGTGTAATATAAGCTATATACATTAAATAACCAAATAAATTATTGACGTTTATTTCCGATCTAGGGTTATTGTAAGCTTCCAAAAAATCAAAACTGGAAAGTAAATAAAATTGTTCGTGTACATAATGAGACGTAATATCATTGATAGTATTCGGAATTTTTAGATTAACGTTTTTTGTCGAGATTTGTAAATTCGGTATCAATATATTACTTAAAATATTAATTTTTTGTTTAGTTGTTCTATCATTTATATTAGAATTTTGGGCATTCCTATTTTCAATACTTACATCACTCTGTGATACATGTACCTTTTTTTGCGGTGGGCTGCTTAACTTACACTCCACATCATCTTTCAGTTTCGAATTTATAGGTCGAATATCATTAGGTATTGTACTATGGGCGGATCTTTTTTGTGTTTTTGTTTGACTCTAAAATAAGTACAAAAATTAGAAAAAAATTAAGAATATTAAACAAACATTAGAGGGTGAATTTTTTTTTTCATTTTCACTATAAGATAAAATAAAAATAAATCAATTCAACTTTCAAATCGTCCCAGTTAAAATTAATGTGTGAGTAGTGAATATTATAGAATACAGCACACTAAATTACTCTATTAGTTTATCACTACATGTTAGTATCCTAATATCTTCGGGGTTTAAGAAACCTACCTGTTAATTTGTTTTATTTTGATGTAGAATATCTAGATTAATGTTATTGATGTGATTATAATTTTTCTTGAAAAATTTGTTTGTATTAGGGTGCTAATACGTTATAACATCGAAAAAAGAAAAAAAATCTCTATCAAATGAGCTTAATGAAATAGTGTACTGTCATTTTGACAAAGTTCAATTGTATTTCGTTACGTATTTGTTTTCTGAAATAAAAACAATTGAATGCTGGCTTATTATGGGAAGTAAAACGTAAAAAAAATAGAAAAATTTTGTATACATTCAATATTTATCGAGATATACACTTACTGTATTCCATACATAATGGGTAACCTGTATGTTAACTGTGCAAAGTTTGAACCAAATCGGTCCCAAGAGTTTAATTATCGTGTTCACAAACGTACATTATTGACTCCAACCCTATAAAGTTTTCAGCACTTTACTCTACCACAAAATCAAATTCAAATTTAAGAGTTTGCAGTTCCGCGTTGCCGAGTGAGTCACGAAACAACAAAAACGAAAGTGTACGTCAAGCTGACACAATTATTAAATATGTCGAGACGTTGATTTGCCTAAACGATGACTTCTGGTGGAAGTTGGTAATAAATGGTACCACAAATTTGGAGTATAATATCACAATCTAACATGTCGTGTTAACAAAACCGTTTACCATGTCAGTTAGCAGTTATATCAGTTGAACAGTGCACAATTTTGCTCTAAGAATTTTTTATGTATCTTTTATGGTAAAGGAGTTATAATCTAAGACATCTTAGATGCTACACCTTGTATAATTAATGATATAATTGTATTACAATAAAGCCTTTGAGAGCACTTCGTTCGTCTCTTACAATTTTTAGCCGCTCTTTGCTTCGGTCACCTGCCTGCATGATTTTCATGCATCACTTTAAGCTTGGTTCACATTATCGAACCGAGTTACAACTCGAACTTTAAATTGAGCCGTAAGCCGAGCATAATCGTAAACATGTACATAATTTTGTATCGAGTTGAATCTCGTGCAATAAAAAAAATCGTCACGATCCACGTATTTGAATAAACGTGGGATTTGGCTGGAGGTTCAGTTCAATAATGTGGACCCCGCTTCATATACAGAAATGGTCCCGGTTACATACAAAATCTTCTATAAATATGGTGAGGATTCGACAGTGTATCGAATCTTATGTCCGTATATGTGAAAATGCTTATTGTTGTAATATTAAAACTTACCAGGCTCTTTGTATCAAGTTGAACACCAGGTAATTGATTTTGATCATTGGGCTTGTATTCTTTGGGCTTGTTCCCTTCTAATTCTAAAACGTAATGTGAAACTTATTTTATTTTGGCGATATTTCGATTTACCTTTCTTTTCCTTATTTTGTCGGACTATTCCCTTAAAAACCTTGCGTTTCGGTGGCATATTACAAAAAAGTGTAATTAATAAGAAATATCTTTATAATTAAACTAAAAATGTTTATAGCGTTTTGGATGGCTATCGTTATAAATACCAAAACACAATGATTGCGTTTCGAGTGTTTCGACTTTCGACGAAACGAAATATGGGTGTGGTCGATATCGACTTTTAGTTCGACCTATCTAAAGGCGCGTTTACATATTTTGGTTTGTTTACACGTTGTGAACTTAAATTGAAAGAAGAGTACGATTATACGAATATTATTCGTATACAATTAGAGCCTACTGTAACTACGAACCGTTGTATGCGATTGAAATCAGTATATTGACATCACGAAAGTAGCCGGTTACTTTCTGTGGTGCTATACAGTGCGAACACTGCTTTACTATGCCGCTTCAATAAATAATGACGTTAGTAATTATTTGCCGCAACAGGCGCGGGGCACCAATACTAATTTATAACCTTAAACTTCAAAACAAATTAAACATTTGACATGTGATTATATTTAATCTAAATAAAGATTTAATCACCTTGTAAGTTTCCAAATGATGTGAAATTATACGAATAGAAAATTGCTACAACAATTGAAACAATTTTATTTCTTTTACAAATCGTTAATATTGAAGTAATTGGATAAATCACATGTTATAAACAACTGTTCGAAGATCTCGTCACCATAATTAAGACAGGGGTCCACTCTTTTCTTTGTTTTCGAAGCCGACATGTAAGTGCCGTTGCATAATGCTTCAAACGGTAGCTTCTATACCTGCTCGTAATTCGGCAATGGTGTGTAAACGGTTTCGAATACGTTGACATCTCGTAAATTTGCATGCAATATTTTAGGACTTTGCAAGTCCGGACGATGAGTTCTTGTAACACGGTTACTTTAAAGGATAGAAGTACAATTTTCTCCAGGCAATAGTGTCACACGTTCCGTATGAGATATCCGTTAGTGGGACAAATTATCGCAGTTGCTTTTTTCGACTTTGTTCAAGACGAGCAAGAATATCTTTTACAAACGCCTTATTAGCAATCACTAAGGGCCAGGTGACTTCCCAGAAGCAAGACTTCCTGTATGTGAAACCGTTCAAGTAAACGACGAGCATTTCGGCGTATATTGTTGTAATCCTCGTCACGGTTGACATCCGTTTATCGAAACTCCTGTATACACAAACGTATCGAGTACTCCCAAACTTCACTTTCATCTTTAGTTCCATTACGGAAACAGAACTGCAAACGCATCTTATTCTCTTCTAAGAAGTAAAAGGCTTGTCGAAGTAAACCTATTGCCTATTACACGCTACAACTAAAAAAACGTTTGTTTGTAATTTACAAGTAATTTACCCACCTTGTAAATATTCGAAAGAAACTGGTAGTCTTGAAAAAAGCCGTGTTGAAAGGAACGATAGAAATAAGAATCACAAATTATAGTTTGTGAAATTATAGGTTATATTTTGTATTGGCTAAATATAGAAAGTACCGCAATCCATTGGGCTCGTGTGTTAAAGAGAGAAAGCATAATTTTTGCCCAAAAAAAATTCTAGTAACTTTAATGTTGGGGATTGTATCACCTGTTTAGAGATGGGATTATATTTATATAAAACATGACAGTACTATGAAGTTATAGGCTATAAAAAAATACTGATATTCAGTTTTTATTTGTAAATTTTTTTATTAGGTTTAGATGAATGACGGGAAAGGTGGGCGCCTGTAGGGCCGTAAGTAAGCGTAGTTTGTCGCCGCGAACGGGGAGAGACGGGTCTACGGGAGAGCCTTCGTTAAGCCCAACTCGCCTTCGGCTCGCTCGACATTGATGAAGGAAAAATGTGAGCCGTTTTCGTCGCGAGAACGGCGAGCTCGAGTTATGCCGAGTCGAGAATTTTTGTTTGAATTTGTATTTCGAAAAAAGTTAAAAAAAAATTCCTAAATCTACAAATAACCTAATGTCCACCGCTGCTTGTGGTCACATTCGATTTAGATTTATTTATAATTTTTGTTTGAATTTGTTTTTCAAAAAAGTTAAAAAAAAAATTTTTTAATTTACAAATAACCTAATGTCCCAAGCTGTTTGGTGCCACACTGTAGCTTCATTTTCAGTTTTTGTTTGAATTTGTATTTTAAAAAAGTTAAAAAAAATTTCTTAAATCTATAAATAACCTAATGCCCCAAGCTAAGGGAGGGCCAAAGTGATGCCGAACTCGCCTTCGGCTCGCTCGGCATTGGTATACGAGGCGCGTGTGTTAAGAATCGAAGTCTTCGGTTATTTTACTTAGTTGGGGAAGGGTTATTAAGAATTTTTATTTCTAATAAAGTTAAAAAAAATATCTTAAACTTACAAATAACCTAATGTGCAAAGCTGCTTGGTGTCACATTTTGTTTAGCTTCATTTATAATTGTTGTTTGAATTTGTATTACGAAAAAAGTTAAAAAAAATTTCTTCAACATACAAATAACCTAATGTCCAACACAGATTGATGTCACATTCGATTTAGCTTCATTTATAATTTTTGTTTGAATTTGTCTTTCAAAAAAGTTAAACAAAATTTTTAAAAATCTACAAATAACCTAACGTCCCAAGCTGTTTGGTGCCACACCCTTCATTTTCAGTTTTTTAAAGAAGTCTATATAAAATATGTAGGTATAAAAAAACCTCGCATTGTTCAGTGTTCAACAACGACAATTTCTCAGTTTCAGTTTTGGCGTGGTAAGAACATGCTACTAAGCAGACTGATTTGATAATTTTTTTGAATGTGTGAGTAATATTTTTGTTTTTTTTTGTGGAAACAACACCTATACAAAGTGATTTTTCTACTCAGCCTGTTTGTACACTCGGGGTTGTTTTAGCCTCCTGTAGAACAGGTTCATCCTCATCGGGAGAATTTTCTTTACGATTTCTCCACGTGCAGAGTCTACATGCTATAATAGAAATCCATGAAAATAATTGGATCATTTTGAGTGGTCGTGAGGAGTTTGTGTAGTATTCCCTATTTTATTTGTTGTTTATGAATGTATTAGGCATGGAAATATGATGATTTTTAAAATTGTTCACGATTTCTAACACAATCCTTATAATATGTACAGGAAAGCATAAAAATTTTAAGACAAAGAAGTTTTTACAATTTTGTTGGAACCTATAGTGTTTCGTAGGTAGTAATTCACGTGCCTTTCCATAGGAGATTCTTTACAAATGGACTTCATCCTCAAGCAAGTATTGGATAACTTAAGGTGCTGTATATTACAGTATCGTGTCCTTCAATGGTAATAAGTATATTTGAAGTACGAGCTTTTATACCTTTTTATAATGATATCGTAGTTCGCTGTTTGGACCAAGTGGTAATAGGTGGTCGCTTTAATACTAGTAGACTATGTGGACATGTAGAAATAAAAGTGGAAGGTAACGAACTAAAACTAATCCTTCGCTACCTTCCTAAGCATGAATATTTCATGTGACGAAATGCTTTCGTTTCCGCTAGAATCTTGGACATACTTTTTGCTCTAACCGGAATATAAACTGATGAATAACCTCCTATAGGACTTCTTCTTGAAGAACACGGATAATTTGTTACATCAATAATAAATTTTCATACCATTTCTATCGTAAATGTCTTTATGCTACGTAGCAACATGCACATCGGCATGAATTTTTGGTCGACATCAAGTCGATTACTCGAAATTGTGCAAATGTAGGTTTGTTTACGATGACATTTTCATAACAACGATAAAACACGTTAAATTTCCTTAAAAATGGTGTTTTTTACATAAAATAGTAATGTCCCAGATTTTTTGACAGTTCCCGTGACAGTTGTATAGATGGCGCCATTTGAAAAAAATACATCTTCTGTATCGGCGCATGCCCAATATAACCGTTCAAATAATACCACATTTCAACCGCGTAGGTTCATTTGAACGTTGCGGCGGTTCCTATTTTCTTAGGAAGTAGTGCTTTTTAGCGCAACTTCCATTGGGGAGTATTCCCTGACGTGTACCACGGCGTACTGCGTTGAGGGGTGTACACGTAGTGTATAATACTTCCCTAACAACAACATAGTTCCCTTTCAGCTCATTTTTCGGATAGGGTGTTTTGTTTAGGTCATTTCCGCTGATAGTTCCGCTTTCTCCGCTCGTTCGAGGAAAGATAGTGTTTGGATGTTAGTTAGTTAGCTTAGGTTAGGGGGCTAATAAACCAATAAACCGAATGCTCCATTCTAAAAAACAGTTTTCATCAATCTGACAATAGAATCACATTTATACATACCTAGTCTAAGAATTTTAGCATTACGGGGGAACTCAGAGCCGCCCCCTTCAACTTCTTCGGTGGCCCCATACCGATGTCGAACTGAAGGTAACCTGAAATCCTATTAACAAAAGATTTTTTAATTTCATTGTAGTACATTTGCTAGGAATTTGTCACTTTACAAGATAAATTAAACGATAAAAGAGGGTAAAATGATCCCACGAAGATCCCAATTCCACGAGGTGGAAGAATGTCTTCGAAATCTAAAAAAATACGTGCGCCATAACTTGATCGTTTACCATAATTCACTTACCAATAAAATAAACAATTAAAAACAATATAAATGGACCGATGAACGTAAATGAAAAATTTACTAAACTTCACCCAAGACGAAACGTGATCGCAATGGAACCTGGAAATAACGTGGCGCCACCGTCGTAGAATGAACTACATTCGCGACGGGGATCTAAATATCGACGTGACTCCCTAATTTTTATTAAATATAACCTCTCGGCACGGGATTAATGCGATTTCGATTTTCTTCGGAGAGGTCAATTTAAATAGAGTACTAATTATGCTAAATTTTTCCCATTGTAAGTATATAACTATGAATTATAGTTTAAAAATTATAAAAGAAAATTGGCACAGACGAACTAACGTATTTTTTACAAAAAAATTTCCAGAACCTTTATTTTTCAATCGATTCGGACGGTGAAAGGTGCATCTGATAGCTAATAATTCGAGCTAAATATTCCCCATTGAACGTACCCGTCTGGCAAGTCTCTTAAAAAAATTATTACAGAGTATATAGTTCAATGATTTATATAAAACATGACAGTACTATGAAGTTAGGTTATAAAAAATTACTGATATTCAGTTTTTATTTGTAAATTTTTTTAAGTTGGAAGCAAATTTGATCAAAATGGCGGATAGCCGGTTACTTTCTGTGGTGCTATACAGTGCGAACAGTGCTTTACTATGCCGCTTCAATAAATAATGACGTTAGTAAATTATTTGCCGCAACAGGCGCGGGGCACCAATACTAATTTATAACCTTAAACTTCAAAACAAATTAAACATTTGACATATGATTATATTTAACCTAAATAAAGATTTAATCACCTTGTAAGTTTCCAAATGATGTGAAATTATACGAATAGGAAAAATTGCTACAACAATTGAAACAATTTTATTTCTTTTACAAATCGTTAATATTGAAGTAATTGGATAAATCACATGTTATAAACAACTGTTCGAAGATCTCGTCACCATAATTAAGACAGGGGTCCACTCTTTTCTTTGTTTTCGAAGCCGGCATGTAAGTGCCGTTGCATAATGCTTCAAACGGTAGCTTCTATATCTGCTCGTAATTCGGCAATGGTGTGTAAACGGTTTCGAATACGTTGACATCTAGTAAATTTGCATGCAATATTTTAGGACTTTGCAAGTCCAGACGATGAGTTCTTGTAACACGGTTACTTTAAAGGATAGAAGTACAATTTTCTCCAGGCAATAGTGTCACACGTTCCGTATGAGATATCCGTTAGTGGGACAAATTATCGCAGTTGCTTTTTTCGACTTTGTTCAAGACGAGCAAGAATATCTTTTACAAACGCCTTATTAGCAATCGCTAAGCGGCCAGGTGACTTCCCAGAAGCAAGACTTCCTGTATGTGAAACCGTTCAAGTAAACGACGAGCATTTCGGCGTATATTGTTGTAATCCTCGTCACGGTTGACATCCGTTTATCGAAACTCCTGTATACACAAACGTATCGAGTACTACTCCCAAACTTCACTTTCATCTTTAGTTCCATTACGGAAACAGAACTGCAAACGCATCTTATTCTCTTCTAAGAAGTAAAAGGCTTGTCGAAGTAAACCTATTGCCTATTACACGCCACAACTAAAAAAACGTTTGTTTGTAATTTACAAGTAATTTACCCACCTTGTAAATATTCGAAAGAAACTGGTAGTCTTGAAAAAAGTCGTGTTGAAAGGAACGATAGTAATAAGAATTAGAAATTATAGTTTGTGAAATTATAGGTTATATTTTGTATTGGATAAATATAGAAAGTACCGCAATCCATTTGGCTCGTGTGTTAAAGAGAGAAAGCATAATTTTTGCCCAAAAAAATTCTAGTAACTTTAATGTTGGGGATTGTATCACCTGTTTAGAGATGGGATTATATTTATATAAAACATGACAGTACTATGAAGTTAGGCTATAAAAAATTACTGATATTCAGTTTTTATTTTTAAATTTTTTTAAGTTGGCAGCAAATTTTCACTAAAATGGCGGATGATTGTGTTACTTTCTATATCTAGTGACTTTAGTATATAGGTGCACATACACGATACCTGGTTGCGGCAAATAATT